TAGTACAATCAAGAGACCCTAGCCACTTGTAGTGACCTGTCTTCTAAGAAAGAGTCTTGTTTCTAACTTTAAACATGACTCCAAATGCAAAAAACCCACAACGGTTGGGCCGCTTCAGAAAAAGGAAGAAGGGAGACACCTGCTGGAAGGACCACTGGTGAGTCCAGTTCTGGTGGAGCCTTCCCGGACAGCTACAAAGGCGCAGAGCTTCACGGGGTCACCTAGAAACGAGGCTGGGAGGTGTGTCAGGAACCTCAGGGACCCAGGGCAAGTCTAATAAAACTAGCTAACATTGTTTGAGGGTTTCCCTTTGCCAGATGCTTTATGGGTAAAATATAACCTCCTTTAATCCTTAAAACTACATTTAGGTGGCTATTAGCTTCATTTTTTTAGATAAGAAAACTAAGACAGAAAGACTTAAGTCAGTCATAGCTGTTAAGTGGTAGAGTTGGATTTAGACTTATGGTCATCACAATTCTTATCCCCTAAACTATATAACTTGTTCTCAATATATAGACAGATGCATACATAAATTATAAATATTCGTATATACTTTTCCCTTTCATTAATCCTAATGATACTTTTAAAGGTGAGTAATAACTAAGAAGTCAGCATTGTAGAACATAATAAATCTGAAACATTATCTTACATATTCTTAAGCTTTCCACATCTCCTGATCCATCCATCAACCAAGCTTTTGGTTAACTGAAGAGAAGCTATACCGCTGTAGTGACAGCTACAAAGGACAGATAAAGGGATCACGGGAGTCAGGACTAAGAGTACTAGAGGGTAAAAACAAAGGAATTAGAAATGCTGATCTATTGGGAAAAATGACTTTTAGTCTAAGAAGTACCAGGACCATTCCAAACCCTAGGCTTGAAACCCTAGGGCGCAGCTCTGATGGAAGCCCCTGTGCTCCTGCCCGTCTCCACTTTACTTGGGGCTGGCATGAGGTAGACTTTAAACCTCACTGAGAGCTATGAGTAAGGATGAGGCTCTGCTGCTGCCTCAGTTTACGTCAGCCTGCCTTCCCAGTGCTGTTTATCAGGAAGTCTCCAGAACAAAGCAGAGGCTGAGCACAGACTGAGGTGTGTGAAACTCTCAGAGCAGATTTTTGAGGAATAATGTCTGATCCAATATTCCTTTTTTTATTGACTAGGAGATAAAGAAGTTTGCTACGTTATCCAGTGTGTGGATGTGTACACAGTTTAAGAAATTAAGCTGACCCTTTAGGCTAGCCCTAATTAGCCATAACCGAATAATATAAATAACAGTATTAATAACATCTAATAAATTCTACCATTTTTTTGAGACAGGATTTGTATGTAGTTCAAGTGGGCCTTCAAGTCACTATGTGGTCCACACAGGGCTTGAACTCATAGCTGTTCTGCTTCAGCCTCCCAAACGAAAATTCGACTGAGTCATCACAAGATTAGATGGATTACAAGCCTCAGTTCATGGGATGCATTGGTTTCTGTGTTTACACAGAAATGTGAGGACTTAACCAACCAAATACACTTTTGAAACTACATATGGCCCATGTTTGGAGGGCCACAGATACATGAAAAGTGCAAGAAGCTGAGGCAGGAAAGTTGCTGGGAATTGGAGGCCAGCCGGGGCTACATAGTGAGTTCAAGGCCAGTCTGCACTACATAGTGATACTCTGTCTCAAGACAAGAAAAAAGTGTGAGGAATGAAAAATACTTGGAATATCACTGAGATATAGCTATGAGTATCCATTTCAAATCATTTCATTTTATTTTTATTATTTTCACTCATTTTTTCCATAATTTTATTGAGAAATAAATAGCAGTGAGGCAGTTACAAATCAAACTGGTAGGTCAGTTCCAATAATAAAAACATTGCATATTGCCTTCTAGTGGTTATTTGTTGTACAAGATGCAGACATGATACCCTATTTACAAACACTATTAGAACAATCCCTCTATTCCCTGAATTAAGAGAATGCAGCTATATATCTATCCTAACCATTTTGAATACACAGATACAAAACGGTCATTCATCTATATCCCCTTTTTTTGTTTAGTTCCATCATTTAAATATTATAGGTGTGTGAACTCAGCAAAATAGTCCAAAATAGTCCAGTAGCCCATAATAGTATAGGGTCTTCCACTTGACTGGCAATGTCAGAAGTTGTTGACCTGAGTCCCCTACAGCTCAACATAATAACATGGTTTTATTTCTTGTACTTCATTTTTATACTTTTCTGCTGGATGGTTAAGACCAAAGTAAAGCAAGACCTATGTAACAAGAATTGTAGCTTTTGGATCTGATAAGGACAGTCAAATCCCCTCAGGATTTATCCTGAGATCCTGTACCTCAGATTGTAGATCTTTTGTCAGTGTCAGCCATGTGGATGAGTCACAGCCATTGCTTGGCCAGTGTGCTCTCTGTGAAAGCCTGGGAGAATGTTTTCTCTCCATGTGACTCTCCTTAAGCACACTCTACATCATCGATCACTTTCCTCTTTGGCCCCATAATCTCCTTGATCAGAAAATTTGGGACACTACCGAGGTACATGACGTTACAGTACAAGTTCTCACATGTCCTGAGTCTTAATTGACCTTGGAAGACTACGACCAAAATGTTGGCTTTCCTTATGGCCCTTTTTCTCCAATTTTTGGTTTGCAAACTTAGGTTGTTAGCCCTCCAGAAGAGAAGCTTATTGTTAATACCATACAACCTAGGCTGTTAAGCTTAAGCTTACTATCTGTCTGAATATCAAACATCTTAGGCATAACATGGAACAGGTATTTTTCATCAAGTATTGATATAAGACAAAAAAATTTAAAAAATTAAAATATAAAGAATTATATATGTTTACACATAAGTCCAGAAATCTAACCATATACAACATTGTTGTAGGACAGTCCAGCAACACTCTTTTTCCTGTCTCCTGCCTTCATTTCATTTTATTTGTTTATTTTTTTGGCGGAGCTGGGGATTGAACTCAGGCCTTTGTGCTTGCTAGGGAAGTACTTATTCCACTGAGCCATCTCCCCGGCCCCATTCATTTCATCTTAAACAATTTTTTTTTCATTTTAAACAAACTCTGATGAGAATTTTCATAACAACATCTGAGAGTAAAGTAGTAAAATGGAGCTGCTTTGTATACGTACTAATATGCATATCACAATTAGCACTTTAGGGTCTGGGGAGATGGCTCAGAGGAATAAGCGCTTCCTTAGCAAGTGCAAGGGCCTCAGTTCAATCCCCAGTTCTGCCGAAAAAAAAAAGGATCACTTTGCTATTATACATTAATCATGTTGCTGAGCAAAGCCATAGAGTTTTCATGAGAACAACAGATAAATATAATGGCTCTAGCATGGGGATATGGAAAGACAATACTTGGCTTAGAACACATTGACGTGAAAGAGCTGGCCAGATAGCACAGTGGATTAAAGCGCCTGCAAGCAGGCACAGGACCCAGGCTTTGATCCCAGGGCCTGCCTGCCGGCCCCGCCCTGGGGTGCACTGAGACCACGATTGAGACTGAGCATGGTGGTGCACGCCTATAATCCCAGCCCTTGGGAGGCTATAAACAGGCGGATCTCTATGAGTCCATCATCTAGTAGTGAGACCCTGAATGCCCTGTAGACCCTTCTCTAAAATAAAGAAATAAATAAAGCCCGTGCTTAGACAGATGCAGGGGCTGGGGGTTTGACCCTTGGCCTGCCATGCTGGCGCCCTCCCCCCCCAGGGTATGCTGAGACCACGATTGAGACTGGGCATGGTGGTGTGCACCTGTAATCCCAGAGCTTGGGAGGCTGAAAAACAGGAAGAACAGTACAAGTCAGATATGTGCAGTGAGACCCTATAAACCCTGTTCCAAAATACATTAAAAAATAATAAATAAATAAAATTGAGAAAAAATAAAAAAGAGAATAAATTGACATAAACTCATACCCCAAGTCTAAAACTTCTCACCTGTAGCCATCTATCTATCTATCTATCTATCTATCTACCCATCCACCCATCCATCCATCCATTGTGTGTGTGTGTGTTTTCTCCTGTACTTTAAAGAAGGGTCTGCAGGGTGTTCAGGGTCTCACTACTAGATGGGACTCTAGTGATTCTCCTGTTTACAGCCCCCCAAGTGCTGGGATGACAGGCTCATGCCACCCAGGCAAGCCCGGATATTGAACTACTGTGTGTGGGTTGGAGACAAGGTCTCACTGCATAGTTCTGGCTGGCCTTGAACTCATGTCGCCCATGTTGGCTGGCCTCCAACTCAGTGCTCCTCTTGCCTCAGACTCTCAAGTGCTGGGATTACAGGTATGTGCCACCCAGACTAAACTATACTATTTTTTTTTAAATAAAATACAGTTGATAATACCCACCTTGCTATCTTCCAGATCTCTGTTGAGAGTCAGATGGTAGTGTATTTGTGAGAAAATACTGTGAAAGTTATAAAATGTTACTAACATATATTGTCCCCTCTATCTTGGTGCTGTGAAGGACTTTCCAGATGTTAGCTCCTGGCTACAGGCCTGGCACACTTACACAGCACCACTCTGCTACCTCAGCTCCTGGTGAGAGGACCGACTTGTCAAACAGGCAGACTTACCACCCTCCCATTCAATGCCCTTGGCTCAGTTACTCTTCTCTCGTTGCGGGGACAAATACCTGACACTCAAAATGAAGAAAAGAAAGGTTTATTTAGCTCACAGTTACTGGAGGTTTCAGTCCATACTCAGCTGGCTCCAAGGCAGAGTGGCACAAGGCAGAGGGCAAACTTTCATGGTGGTGGCAAAGAGCAAGAGCACAAGGGAGGGTAGCTGGCTTCTCAGGCAGCTGGCTTCTCTTCCCACCTTACATTGTAATGCAAATTACCTGCCCCAGGGCAGGAGCAGCAGCCACATTCACAGTAATCAATCACAGACTCCAGAAGCTGCCCCAAGACTGCAGGAGGCTCTGGGGGAGGGGGGGGGGGACACCTAGACACAAACTATAACGGCCCTCTTTGAGGATGAGCTTACCTCGGTGGAGAGGAAGACTGTTTAGCTCTTGGGATGTAAATTCAGAGATGCAGACAAACAGCCTTTCTTCCTCTTTGAGACTGGGAATGGTCACAACTTCCACGAAACTGCTGGGGAACTGTCCTGAGGAGAGAACCGACACACTGAATCCTGGTATTTGATGTTGAATGTTCAATCTTCTTTTAATACTGAAATTTCTTTTGCTGTGTACAAGGACAAAAACTTTTTTTTAAGTTTATTTATAGATTCTGAATAAAGAATTCACTGAGGGCTCTATTGTAGAAGAAGCACAGTGTACAAAATCAGATATATCCAGAAGACAAAAAATGCAACTCACAAAACATTTATTGGAGCCACACCAGCAAGACAGTGCAGAGGGAAACAAGAGGTTGACATCTGGGTCTTTAAAATCTGAAAAACTGCTTTAGTTCAGGCATAAATAGTATCTCAATCCTGAAGTCCTGCCTCACAACATAGGTGCACAAATAAGTTTAAAGACAGTAGATAATTAGGAAGAAGAAAAATAAATTTATAAGAAAGCATTCCAGTTAGAAGATGGCTAGGGTTTTAATAGGTGGGTGTAGAAAGACAATGCCTATTAGTTAGGAAAATAAGAAAGCCTGATACTGTCTTCTCCATGTTTCTTGAATCTGTGCCCCAATTCCCAGAGACACCTCCTTGGTCCCAGTCTTCATCCATGTCTCCTGGATGGCTGCGATAATCTCTTACTTCCTTGCCTTACCCCCTTTCTTAGCTTTCCTCAGTCTGCAGTAGTGAGCTTCCTGAATGTCAATCTGACCATGCTTAAAGCACTCTCCTGCTTCCTTAACTCCTTACCTGGCACACTCTGCCTTCTGTGGGCAGCTTCTGCTCTTCTCAGCCCCACCTGCCCCCGAGCCATCCTTGTTTTGCGCTTTCCTCAGTCCTTCTGTGTTGCTATCCACTCAGGACTTCTACACAAGCAATTCTCTCTCCCTCGCTAACTTCTACTCAGCATTAAAGTCTCATGAGACTTCCACTGGGAAGTAACCTATCACCCACATATGGGATAAGGGTACCCAGGATCTGCTCCCCCGATGGTCTCCTTTTCCATCCCAGACCACACATATGAGAATGACTGGATTAACACAGGTACATATTATGTGGGGTAAATGTCCACCCTTCCCTAGGAGAGTTAAGAAAAGACTATGTCAATGTATACTTTATATTTTCTTTTTATTTGTTTGTTGGAGCTATCCACCCTGGGTAGTTCAGGCTGGCCTCAAACTCATGGTGATCCTCCTTCCTCAACTTCCAGAGTGCTGGGATTATAGGCATGTGCCACCATGCCCAGCTAACTTAATGTATATTTTATAAAACACAAGAAAGGTAACCAAGAGCATGGGATGTGGGGCATGCCTTCTAGAGTAGAAGGCAATTTAATTAACTTGAATCTAAAGATATCTAGGAAGGAGTGAAAAGGAGGACTCAGGATCTCTTGAGAAGAATGAAAGCCAGAGTAGGAGATGTTACAAGAACACAGCAGTGCAGAACGGTAGCGAGCATCTTCTGCTTCATCACACAGAAGCAAGCCTGGCTGAGAAAGGAACAATAAACAACAGGAGTCCTGAAGAAAGAGAGGATGTGCATCTCTCTCAATAACTACACTGAAGTCAAAGGACAACAAGCTGGCAAGGGGAAGCGAAGGACACCTGTAGAAAGCCAGACCGGGGACAGCTGGTATCTAACATTCAACCTCCTAAACTAATCAAGGATGAGTGAGGGACTAATGCCAACAACCACCTCCTCGCAGGTACAGACCATGACATAAATACAGGAGGAAACCACCACAGGATTCTGAAGCTCTTGACAAGGGCCCCACTGAACCTTTAATTTTAGTGTGCAAATAAGAATTGGGCTGTGGCCCATTGTGTATAGGAGAAGTTATGAACCTCTTACCTGTAACATCCTCCTTCTTTCCTAGAAGCCAAAATTCGTCCACTACTGCCAACACCTCAATGACATCGCCCACAAAGAGCGGAAGTTCTTCTGATACGCTGGGGCAAAAGTCAAAGATGGCGCGAACGACTGAACCAGCCTCCATGGTTCACCGCCTGGAAAGAAGGTCAAGAGAAGGTACGTATTAACATGGGGTCAATGTCCACCTTTCCCTAGTATTGTTAAGAAAAGATGTCTATGTTAATTTATATTTTCTGTTTTGTTTGTTTTGAGATAGGGTCTTAGTATGTAGCTTAGGCTGGCCTGAACTTACATTTAAGGTACAACAAATCTATTTCTTGAGAATAACAAGCTCACGTATAAAGATATTTAAAATGGAGTCAAAGCTATGCTGGCCATGGTGATGCACGCCTGTAATCCCAGAACTTGGGAGGCTGAAGCAGGAGGATCACTGTGAATTCAAAGCCAGCCTGAACTACATAATGAGACTCTGTCTCAAAAAAAGAAGTCAAAGCTAAAAAAATTCGTGCTTTATATTTTTTAAAAAATCAAAGTACATTTTATTTCTTTAAAACATTAATTTCTTCACATATTTTAATTTGCTTTTCAAAGTGTTTCAGAAGTTAAAAACAAAACAAAACCACGACCTCTACCTCTACCTCTGTGTGACCAAAAAAAAAAAAGAAAGAAAGAAAAAATCCAATTCTGTAAATGTAGGCTTCCCAGGATGCCTGGAGAGGGCAGTAAGGAAGGAATTTGGCATTTTAAAACAAGTATCAGACAATATCTTTTTTTTTTTTTTTTTGACAATATCATGCTTTTAAAATACAGTATTTTTAAGTACACTATTATTTTACTATATTAGTTATTTCCTATAATTGACATACAGATTAGGGTTAAGGTCCAGCAAGGTTAGAAAACCTGATTTGTCCACTTTACAAACTCCTAGCGGCAGGCTCAAGAGTTCTCACAATGAGAGCACCGAGGCTTCAGCCTCCCGAAATGGTGGTGAAAAAATAAAGAAGTGCAGCCGAGAGACAGCAGGACCACGCCTCGCAGGCCGAGATTCAACATGCGCTGAAAGGAACAAGAAGAGCTGTGCAGATCGTGTCCTCAGATGACCTTCGGTCCACTAAACAGCCTGAGCATGTGTTCTGGTACTAGAAACGCCCGTGATCTGACAGAGGGGTGACCCTTTAACATGGTATGGGTCTGTGCTGCGGCGAGATGAGGCGTCCCCCACAGGACTCGCGTTGTGAAGAGGCCTCAGGAGGCATCTAAGCACCAGAAAACGGGGACCGTGAGAGCAGGCTCACGGCTACCTGGGAGCAGCCAGCCAGGATCACAACTGTGTTCTCCTTCTGTCTTTTATGTGGCTCAGATGAAGATCTCCAAGCTGCCCAGGCCCGATGTGTTGTCTCTATTCACTCGCCTGGCCTTTGCGGAGATGAGGGTTCTAATGTCCAGCTTACATTTAACTATAATCACATCAAAAGGCCTAACGATGGGAAAGATGGTCGCAGACCTAACATGGACATGGAGCCAGCTGCGGTCGTACACATCTGTAGTCCTGGCACTCAGGAGGCTGAGGCAGGACAGCTAGCCTGGGTTACACACCGAGTTCAAGCCCAGTGGGAGCTACAAAGCAAGATTCTGTCTCTTAAAGAAGAAAAAAGTAGGGGCCAGGGAGATGGCTCAGTAGAGTAAGAGTTTCCCTGGCAAGTGCAAGGGCCTGAGTTCAACCTTCAGTTCCACCAAAACAAACAAACAAACCACTGAGGTGAAAAAATATATTTGGGTATCTAATAAACAGTTCAGTGTAGCAATATGGGTTATCTAGAAGATTTTGATGATCAAGAAACACAAGCATTATATATTTAATTTGTACTGTTAAGTAAAAGTAGCTTATTGTCATTCTATTATTAGGCTTTTTTTCTGTAATGAGATAACTTGGGGCCACAGTAGAAAGAGGAAGTAGCTAGTGACATTTCCCATGTCCTCTGTCCTTTTTTTTTTTTTTTTTTGCGGAACCGAGGATTGAACTCAGGCCCTTGTGTTTGCTAAGGAAGCACTTAGTCCACTGAGCCATCTCCCCAGCCCCCCTCTGTCCTTTCTTGTCACAGATTTTGTTTTCTCTTTGTCCCTATTCTATCTCTTCTTTTTTTTCTCTCCGTAGGACTAGGGATTAAACCCAGGGCCTCTAGGCTTTGGACTAAGTGATCTACCATAAGGCTAAACCCCAGCCCACATATTTGATTTAAAAAAAAAAATTATTCATTTGATACAAGGTCTGGCTACACAGCTCAGATTTGTCGTGATCCTCCTGTCTCAGCCTCCCCTGAGCTGGAATTATAGATGTGTGCCACCACACCCAGTTTCAGTGGCTGGCTCTATGTGCCTGTCGGGGTTCCAGGGAGGCATGGCATGTGGTATCAGGATTGAACTCGGGTCCTTGTGCTTGCCAGGCAGGTGCTTAGACCACTGAGCTATCTCCTCAGCCCACAGATTTGATATTTTGTGTGCGTGTGGGGCCAGCTCAGCCCACCAGGGGGCGGGGCTGGCTGGCATGTGGAGCTGGGGGATTGAACCACAGTCCCTGTGCTTTGCTTAGCTTAGCTTGTTTTAAGTGGGTGCTTTAGACCACTGAGCCATCTCACCAGCCCTGATATTTTTAAAAATTAAATTATAATTTCACATCAAGAGGACAGAATAATGGGAATGGAAAGCATTAGGTTTTTGCAGAGGGAGGAATCAAAGTTCAAATCCCACAGACAACATTTATCAGCGATTTGAGCCTTAAAATATTATTTTTACTCTTGGGCTTCAGTTTTCTTGTCCTAAGAAATGGAGATAATACTTTCAAAGTAATCATCAAGAAGATGAGAATAATGATAAAAGTAATTATAATAATGTCTAGACCAGATGTGGTGGTGCACTCCTGTCATCCCAGCACTTGGGAGGCTGAGGTAGAAAGATCATTGCAAGTTCTGGGCTACAATAGTAAGACCCTATTTTAAAAGAAAAAAAACAATGTCTAGTATTTATCAATACTTATTATATGCCATCTATTGTGCCATGTACTGCCCTCACGGAGTCTTTGCACTGATCCTATTCTGTATCACAGGCTCCTGATTGGTAGGTAGGGCTTGGCCCAGGGAAGGACTATAATTAGTCCAAGGTCACATAATAAATCAGAGTGGAATGGGACTAGAAGTCTACCTGTCTCCAAAGTCTTCATCCAGGAACCAACTGCATGAAAGCACCTAGGGCAGAGTTGGTGCAGTAGTTGCTCAACAGACACTACCAATTCTTACTAATCATTTTCCCAACCAACTATAGGGCTGGCCAGATAGCTCAGTGGACTAAAGTGCCTGCTTAGGCAGAGAGCAGCGGCTGGGGTTCAATCCCTGGTGTGCTGCTGTGCCTGCCCCACCCCTGGGGCCTGCTGAGACTGTGACTGAGACTGGGCGTGGTGGTGCGTGCCTGAACAGGAGAATCACTATGAGTCCGATCTACGTAGTAAGACCTTGTACCAAATACATAAAAAAAAAAAAAAAAAATTATAAGCCCAGATGTGTGTCACTGCTCACCAGAGAATGCATTATTTTAAATGTAGAAATGGAACTGTAGAACTTCCCCTTTCAACATGTCAAACGTTGGTTAATTTTGACCATGTTTAGAAACAGACATATCATATGCTTCTCTAGCTTTGCCTACAGAAGACACTGAACATGATTTACTCATTGGGTGATGGACACAATTCCTTAAGACTGTACATGGCTGTACTGAGCACCGCATAACCTTTCTCCTTCTTCTGTTGATGCCAGCCTACCCTGACACAAGTTGCTTAGTAAGAGCACACATTACTGTATCGCATTGTAATAATCCCAACAGTGTACAACTTCTGGTGTTTCTCTCTTGATGTTGGCCTTCCTAGGCTCACAGTTTATCTCCACAGATCTTTCCACACACACTCGCTGGCTGCTGAAGACAATCTGCTGGGGAGGGAGGACCACGCACCACCAAAATTATTAGAAGTTTCCAGATAAATAAAAGTAAACAAGCACTAAATGGCACACTGACACTCTTCCGTGGCAGCAAAGGACATGTGTGTGCTGGTGTTTGTAAACAGTTATTTCTTCTGCTCTCTGAGGCTCTTTTCATATTTTCTGGCTGTCTTTCAACGGGCTAAAGTTGCCAGATGTCAGGTTTCCACATAAGGGTGGTGTCTAAGTGTAATTTAGAAAACCAAATATAATATTTTGCAAACCTTGTAGTGATCTTTAAGTTATTCAGGGGCCAGCCAAATAGCTCAGCAGATTAAAGCGCCTGCAAGCAGATGGGGGTGGGTGGGGGGTGGGGTTCAATCCCCGGGTCTGCTGTACCAGCCCTGCCCCCCCGGGCATGCTGAGACTGCGATTGAGACTGGGCATGGTGGCGCACGCCTGTAATCCCAGCTCTTGGGAGGCTGTAAACAGGCAGATCACTGAGTCTGATCTAGTAGTGAGACCCTGAATACCTGGTAGACCCATCCTTAAAATATAAAATAAAAAATAAATAATAAAAGTTACTAAAACAACTCTAAGGGATGGGCCAAGGTGGGTATTATTTCCCTTTTTAAAATCTTTTTCTCAAATTTCACCTCACTGTACAATTCATTATCTAAAATATCAGTCAAATAAAGAATTAGCATAAGCCCCACTGATTACTTAAGAGAGGTACTCAGTTATATTTTAGTTGTTATGATTTGAAAGAGTTAATGCTTCTCCCTGGAACCTTTGTATCTACCAGAAAGTGACTCAGAAGCAGAGAAGTATCTGGCTCAATAAATACTTTTAATGACTGACCTCTTACTCTCTTGGAATGAGTGCACAATCGCAGAGAAACACACACCCTAGCAGGGAATGAAGTCACAACCTCAATGAATAACACAACTCATGAGTCAGACTAGAAGGTAGGGTTTGATGTCTCTATTTTATGTACAACCTGATGGATTTCATTTGTTTTCCCCAGACTGTGAAAAGCAACTATGACTATTTATATTGGGGCTGTTCTTGAATTAGGTGCATGCAATTCAAAACTTAATTGTCAAGGGCATCCATAAGCCATCCACCGGCTCCAGATGGAAGTGAAAAAGAGCTGCAGAGGAAATTGG